TACACTACTATACTACTACTACTACTATTACTACTACTACTACTACTACTACTACTACTACTACTACTACTACTACGACTACTACTACTACTACTACTACTACTACTACTGCTGCTACTGCTACTGCTACTGCTACTGCTACTACTTCTTTTACTACCCTCTGAGGCGTCAGTCGCGCCCAGATGCACCAGGAGCGCCAGAGGGAAGCTCATGGAAATACCGAGTAAAGTTGGTAGCCAGCATGGACACCAAACGTCAGGTTGTGGCCCCCTCGATGTGCAATAAGTGCTTTGGAAACTGTGCCATGCATTCTGTGCATGGTGAAATATATACGTTGCAGGCGATGTGGTGAAAGATGCGGTGATGTTAGCGACGTTGGGCGGCCACGGGCGGCCACGGGGCGGCAACCAAAGAAATCCTCGGGTTACCCACCCAATGTCTTGGTAAAACATAGATCAACAATCCTCATTGCAAGCACTGCTTGGGGAAACATCGAGCCCGTTCCAAAACCAAAGTGAACCTCATCCCCAGACTCTGACTGTAGCAGCTTTCCCTTTCATCGGGCATGCTGGAGCGGTGCCTCCACGTGACCGGACACCTCGCCAACCTGGAGGGGGGAGGGGCGGGCGGCGGGCAGCGGCAGGCGCCACGCGCGCCGGCCACGCTCAAGGGGGCGCCTCCTCCGTCGCAGTCCCGCCCACTCCCTCCTTCGCCCCCTCCCCCTCCTCCTCAAAATCTTCCGCCTCGTCCGCCTCAAGGGGCTTCTCCCCCTGAAAATCTTCCGCCTCGTCCGCCTCCTCCACCGCCTCCTCGCCCCCCTCCTCCCCCTCCTCCTCTTCATCCTCCTCCTCCTCCTCCTCCTCCTCCTCCTCCGCCGCATCCCCCCCCTCCTCCGCCTCCTCTTCCTCTTCCCCGACCCTCCTCCTCCTCCTCCTCCTCCTCCTCCTCCTCCTCATCACCCTCTTTCTCCCACTCCTCCTCCTCCTCCTCCACCTCCTCACCATCACCATCATCACCACCACCACGACCAGGCGGGTCGAGCGGGAGGACACTAACGGGCGGGTCGGGGGCGGGCCCAGACGGCCTGGCCGAGCGGGCGGGTCGCTGAAGCGCCAATCCAACATGATTCGAAAGAAGTTCTGAGTGATTGAGCGATTCCAGAGTACATCGCGAGGAGATACACAGCGAGAGCGTGATTGCTGAGTGTCGAGGCACGGCGTTTGCATAAATTGCGAAAGTACCACTCAAGGGCGCGATTCCTGGACAACTTCTAAGGAAGTCACGCGCGAGAGCGCGATTTTGAGTGAATTGCGAAGGAATATCAAGTGGGAGCCGCTGATGCTGTAAAGCGGGAGTCAGCAACCCAATCTGAGGCGCAAAATCTCACATTGGTAAAGATATGGTGCAAAGCCCCTGGAGGAGCACTCTAATTGAAAAGTGCCATGGGCACTGGAGGGGATAGACCTACGAAAAAAAGCTTTGGAATCAAGATCTCAACAACAACAACAACAACAACAACAACAACAACAACAACAACCACCACCACCACCACCACCAACCAAACAAACAAACTAACTAACTAACTAACTAACTAACTTACTAACTAACTAACTAACTAACTAACTAACTAACTAACTAACCAAGAAACAAACACCATGTTAAGACTGTTCGCTCCGATCTGCTCGCGTGCCAATCAAAACGTATATCCCCAACCCTCGGTACCCGCCCTCGTCGTCTTCGATAGTACCCCCTTGGGGGTATACCTTCCTTACCTGCCACGTGCATTTAGTGCAGCCACTAAAACAAGGGAAGAGAGGACGGGTGGAAGGGGAGGGAGAAGAATGGAGCACGAGAGAAATTAGCAGGAGGGGGGCAAGGAGCAGAAAACAAGTGGTAGAACCAGACGGGCACATCGGGTGGGCAGACCCATAGCGGGCAGATCGGGAAGGCGGGCCCACGCGACCAGGTCGAGCAGGCGGGTTACTGAAGCGTGGCTCCTGCATGAATCGCGAGGACGTCTCGAACGATAGCGCGATTCACAAGTAAATCGTGAGAAAAGCCACAGCGAGAGCGTGATTCCTAAGCGCCGAGGGCCCATCGTTTGAACAAACTCCGAGGAAGTCCCACGCAAGAGCGCGATGCGTATACAACTTGTGAGGAAGCCCCGCGCGAAAGCGCGATGTGCAAATAAATTGCGAGGAAGAATCCGGCAGGAGCCGTTGTTGCTATTGTTGTAAGCCGTGGGTTAGGGGCCAAGTTTGAGCCCCGTGACTTCCCCTGCTAGAAAATTAAATTACAAGCCTTGGAGGACGCACTTCAATTGAAAAAAACAATGGCCACCGCAGGGGGGGATCATCCATACTTTTTTCTTCAATAATGAAATCAACAGCAACAATAACGACGACAACAACAATGGCACCCGAGAAAAACCCAAACATAATATGTTTCCCCACATGTTTCGTGGGGTTTGGGTTTTCTTCCCACCCGCGTCGAACCCGCGTTTTTTTGTTCACTTCCTCCTCCCCGTTTCCTCGTCCTTCCTCCCCTCATCCCCGTGTAACACACGCACGGCACGTGCATGAGAAACGCGTCTACATACAGCCGCACGCATGCACAGGGGGATGCGCCGGGGGTGGGGTCGCTATCCGTCGTACGCTTACAAAACGTGGCAGGCGCGCAGCTTATCGAATCCACCGGGGCTGTGCAGGGGGTGGGGTCGCTATCCGTCCAAATTACGCTCGAAAACCGTGGCAGGCGTGGCATTTTCCCGATGCCGCGGGGGTTGCGCTGGGGGTTGGGGCCGTGATCCGTCGTGCGCTCGCAAAGCGTGGCGCGCGTGGCGTTTTCTCGATGCCAGGGATGGGGTGCGCTGGGCGTGGGGTCGCTATCCGTCGTACGCTCGCAAAGCGTGGCAGACCACAGAAGGGTGCGCACGGGGGTGGGGTCGCTATCCGCCGCACGCATGCAAAGCGTGGCAGGCGCGGTATTTTCTCAAGAGCACAAGGGGTGCGTTGCGGCTGGGGTCGCTATCCGTCGTACTCATGCAAAGCGTGGCAGGCGTGCAGTTTCTCGATTCCACCAGGGGTGCGTGGGGTCGCTATACGTCGCACGCTCGCACAGCGTGTCAGGCGTTGATGTTTCTCGATGCCACAAGGGGGATGCGCGGGGGGGGGGTCGCTATCCGTCGTACGCTCGCAAAGCGTGGCAGGCGCGCAGTTTATCGGCACCACAGAGGGGTGCGCTGGGGGGTGGGGTGGCTATCCGCCGCACCCATGCAAAACGTGGCAGGCGTGGCAATGTCTCGGCAGCACAGAGGGGCGCGCACGGTGGGTATGCGTCGCACGCTCGCAAAGCTCAGCAGGCGTGGCAGGCGTGGCATTCGCTCGATTCCGGACGGCGTGCGCAGGGGGTGGGGTCGCTGGTCGTTGCATTGGCGCACAGCGTCACCGGCGTGGCAGTTTCTCGACACCAGAAGGTGCGCGCTCGCACGCTCGACGCTTGCCATCAGTTGCATCCAGAACTGCACGCATGGGTAACAGGGAACACCTGGGCTCATTCCGACTCGGCACGCTAGGGTTTTCACGCGGGTGAGCCAGGACTCCCAATCGGAGGCAGCAAGCGCCCCCGCGCTGTGAGCTTCAGTCATGCCGCCTAAAACTGCCATGGACGCATTGCCTCCCCCACGGCACGGCATGTCAGGCCCCCAAGGCTTGAACCGCGCCGCCTTCGATGTCAGCGAAGCAACGGCCACGAGCAACATGCTCGCAAGTTCCACGTCAGCTACCATCACGCAAGACACATGATAAGTATGTGGGGTTCCTCGGTAGCGTAATTAGGGCTATAGGGCTATGAGGCTATAGGGCTTTAGGGCTATAGGGCTATGGGGCAATAGGGCTATAGGGCTGAAGGGCTATAAGGCTATAGGGCTATAGGGCTATAGGACTATGGGACTATAAGGCTATAAGGCTATAGGGCTCTAGGGCTACAGGGCTATTGAGCTATAGGGCTGTAGGGCTATTAGGGCTGTAGGGCTACCGGGCTGTCGGGCTGTAGGGCTATAGGGCTATAGGGCTGTAGGGCTATAGGGCTATAGGTCTATAGGACTATAGGTCTACCGGGCACCCGGGCACCCATGCACTCGGGCACTCGGGCACCCTGGGCACCCGGGCACCCGGGCAACCGGGAACCTGGGCGTGCCGCCGAAATCAGCGCCGCACCTCGCCTAACCAGATGAATCCGCTGGGACTCCTACAGAGGCAAGCTCTGATTTGGGAACAGCGACAATCATTTTAAGACTGTTAGCTCCTATCTGCTCACGTCCCAATCAATACGTATATCTCGAAACCTCGGTACCCGCCCTCGTCGTCTTCGATCGTACCCCCTTGGGGGTATATCTTCCTTACCTGCCACGTGCATTTAGTGCAGCCCCTAAAGCAAGGGAAGAGAGGACGTGCGGAAAGGGGAGGGAGAAGAATGGAGCACGAGAGAAATTAGCAGGAGGGGGGCAAGGAGCAGAAAACAAGTGGTAGAACCAGACGGGCACATCGGGTGGGCAGACCCACAGCGGGCAGGTAGGGAAGGCGGGCCCACGCGACCAGGTCAAGCAGGCGGGTTGCTGAAGCGTGGGTCCTGCATGAATCGCGAGGAAGTCTCGAACGATAGCACGATTCCCAACCAAATCGTGAGAAAAGCCAAAGCGAGAGCATAATTCCTGAGCGCCGAGGGCGCATCGTCTGGATAAATTGCGAGGAGGTCCCACGCAAGAGCACGATGCGTACATGAATTGTGAGGACGTCCCGTGCGAGAGCGCGATTTGGAAATAAACTGTGAGGACATATCAGGCGGGAGCCGCTGTTGTTGTAACTGGGGGCCAGGGGCCAAGCTTGAGCCCCGTGACTTCCCCTGCTCAAAAATAAGGTACAAGCCCCGGAGGACGCACTTCAATTGAAAAAATACAATGGCAACCGGAGGGGAGGGATCAACAATACTTTTTTCTTCAATAATGAAATCAACAACAGCAACAAGGACGACGACGACGACGACGACGACGACAACGACAACAGCAGCAGCAGCAACAACAACAATGATACCCGATAAAAACCCAAAGATCTGATTTTTCCCCAGATGTTTCGTGGGGTTTGGGTTTTCTTCCCACCCGCGTCGAACCCGCGTTCTTTTTCACCTCCTCCTCCCCTTTTCCTCGTCTCTCCGCCCCTCATCCCCGTGTAACACTCGCACGGCACGTACATGAGAAACGCGTCTACATACAGCCACACGCAAGCACAGGGTGGGCGTGCGTTGGGGTGGGCTCGTTATCCGTCGTACGCCCCGTGACTTTCCGTGCTGAAAAACAAGGTGCTAGCCCCGAGGGAAGCATTTCAGTTTGAAACAACACTATGATCACCGCAGGGGGGATCAACAGTAATTGTTCGTCACTAGTGAGAGTTCAACAATTTCAACAACAACAACAACAACAATCACAACCACCACCACCACCACCACCACAACAACAACAACCACAACAACAACATCATCATCATCATCAACAACAACAAAACAACAACAACAACAACAACAACAACAACAACAACAACAACAACAACAACA